TTATTCATAGTTTAATCAGTCACATTATACAGTGATGTGGGATATGCCTAGTTTATGCTAATCGTATAACTGTCTATTGTACTCATGTGGCTTTTATTTGTCTTTTTCATCTTTTTTCGTACAAAATAGTAAATTTGTTCATGGACGGTATCATGAATACCATTTATTATCCTATCAACATAGCAAATGTAAAAATAAGTATATATGGCTCAGCACATTCTCTCAGCAATGTATATGTGCTCTGCAGGTGGCATATCCAGGCCAGGTGATTGAGGTGGATGAGCTGCTATCACGGGCGCATGGTGGCAGCTACAAGAACAAGCTGAGGCTGCACTTTGAGCCCGGCAGGACCATCAGCATGGACACTGTAGTCATCTCCCGCAGCGACCAGGGCGTGATATCTTATGGCCTTTCCAATACCTTTAAGCTCGACACCTGGATCAGTCCTCTCAGGTGAACTAATGAGATACTCTACCTGTTATTTTCAAAACATCCTTCGAATTCATTCTTGTCACTTAGTAAAGTCTTTCAAAACACCTTCAAATTAAAGTGTTGGACCAGAGTCTGACGTTAGTGACCATGCCTTTGAAATCAGTCCAGTCCCATGTTAAGCGCAGCAACACCACAGCCCTTAATCACGTTATGGATACCAGATTTGGTAGGAATTTGTCTCTGTATGCGCTTCCTCATTGCCCTCATTTTTCTAGACAAAGATGACTCGTCCAGTGTGTCACAAGAACCTCAGTTGTTGTCTCTCCAAGTATATTGCTATTTTTTGCACGGTTTCAAATACTTATCATAAGCGTGATATAATACTTTGTATCAGTATTCAAGAAAATTAATTTGAGAACGAGCATTGTTGTTCATTCTTTTCTTTCAGTGTTGTGGGAACCTTGAATTGTATTGGGAGAGCCCGATGTACACTGGACATGACAGCAGAGCAGGCAGGAGACCAGCTGGCCGATGTTAAACTGCAACACACCGCTGCCACAGGAGTCTCCAGGACTGAGGCTAAATTTCTCGTCACGGTAGGAGAAAGCGAAGAGAGTAAAGAGTGAAATCGGAATGGGGAGGAATGAAAGCAGAAAACGACGACAAAGAAATATACAAAATTCAAAGTAGTATAATAGATATGAAATACATAACCATTTAACACGAAATCCCTATTAGCTAATGGCTCAAAAAACTTCCTCCAGCATTGGGTAGATGGATCAGTGTCCCTGGATTCCGCCTCTAAGCTGGGTTACTATGACCTTAAGTGGTACATTATGGCCACTCCTTGGGCTCGCGTGCTACAGGGCCACGCGGTAATGGACTTGTCCTCGGCTGACATCGCGGCTGCAGAGATGATTGTGGCGAAGATAGAAGGAGACAGCTTGGGCGAAGTCACGCATCTGTACAATGGAACATTCACTTTAAATCCAGCAACACGTTCAGTCCACACAAGGTCGGCAAAGATTACAAATATCCTCGATAATCATTCATTCCTGAAGCATGTGCAACATTGGTGGACAGTAGTCGGCGTCTACACGCTATTAACTGTGGAACTGAATAGCTACGAAAATTCACGCCCTGAATAGTGTGTAATATGGCTTTTCTTCACTGTTAGGCAGGAGGCCCGGTTGGTGTCGGGGGATGCAAGTGACCTATGGGTGGCGGTGCTGCAGGGGCGGGCAGGAGACCAACTTTTCAACAGCAGACACTTTGGAAAGGTAAGCATGGTCTCTGTTCATTGGTTCATGCGTAAGTAAGCTTATAAGACGCGGTTCAACTGGTCTTGTGTACGCGTGTCTGGTAGCGCGGCTATCTGGGTAGAATCGGTCACTTTGGTGTGAAATCCGGGGGCTGAGGGAAGCCAGCGGTAACTAGACGCAGTTTCAAATTATTGTCTAATTCACATAAAGAAATCAATATCTATAAAGTCAATAGAAAAAGATTTAATATAAAACATTTAGAATTAATAATCACAAAAATCGTTTTTTATTAAAAAAAAAAAATATTACTGAGAATCTACGCTCGCGTCAGCCTATAGTTAATAATTTTGAATCTGATATATCGGTTTCCGTGCTTCTTTCTTCAAAAAAATATATGGCATGATGCACGAAATTATGGTGAAACAAGGAATAAGTCCTTGTGTTCCATGTTGCACAAACGAGAAGTGCTATGCGCAGTGTTATTCAAACGAGAGGCATGTGGTGGTGCTTTTTGCAGTTGAAACACTGAGCCTGGCTGAGTACGCGCACCCTAAGTATGTATTTAAGAAGGCTTGATTAAAATAAGCTTGTACAAAGTGAAGGAGCTTTAGGATGGTCTCTTAGCTATACGGAAACTAAACTTTTAAGTTACACATGATCCTACCCTTCCACCACTCAGGCAACACTCATGACTCCTTCTGGCATGTTTTATACGGCGAATGGAGACGTGAGCACCGAGGTGCACAGCCTGGAGTCGGTGATTGCGGGCGTGAGTCTGTCTGCGGGCGTAGGCCAAGCAGCCTCCT